CTCACGATGAAGATTCAAGAGTTCTCGGAGTCAATTGAATAAAGAAAGAGATCAAAGGGATGAAATATAATCAAATTATGATCGCACATCAAGTTCCAACCGAAGAAATGTATGCATCATTTTTAGATTCATATTGAGACCCACTTTTGACATAGGAAATTATCATATTTGAAAATGGTATCTGAAGCAAAGTTGTAGCTTTTTGAGTTAGCTTTCTAGCGCATTTTAAATCGTCTCAATCGGATATTTAGATAAAAAGTTATGATAAAAAGACTGAAAGTTGTGCAATGCGATCGAATTGACAACAGCGCCCAAGCGCTATCCCGAAGCGCCCAAGCCCTATGTTTCTGATTTTCTTCCTTGAAAGTTAGCGCTTAGGCACTGCAATTATAGTGCTTAGATGTTACCTGAATTTGTTCATGGCGCTTAGGCGCTGCGCTGGGATTGTCTAGGGTGCGTTTTTTGGCCGTTTTGAAGTCTATAAAAAACCCTACTTTCTATACAAACAAAGGAGGTATCTATAAATACATATTTCTCACACTTTTGGAGAGTTCCACACATTAAGAGGTAAGAAACACATCTTGGGAGAAAAAGGGAGAGATCTATTTTTTCTTCTACGTATTTAATTCTAAATCCGGCGATGTACTCTAAGACAATTTGTTATTTCTCTTTTTTCATTATGCATAGTTAAATCCTTTGTTAGGACAAACAATGTAACATATTTCGGAACCTTTATTTCTTTTATTTGAGATTCTTATTCGTTATAATTACATGTGTGGATTTTAATCATGTTTCCAATGCTTTAAATTTTTTGGCCAATTATTCAATGATTTCATGAATAATAATTACAGAGATGCGAATTCTTGTTTAAACCACATATCAAAATTCGGTATATTAATATAACGTGTAGAGATACTTATAGTAATTGATGCGGTTCTATATGAATTCTTAGAATTATTATTTCGTTTAAATAATATTGATTTGCATACAGTTATGAAATTGAATTATTTAAATAAACTCAATGAAAATTCAAGAGGGGTAAATTGAATACCTTAGAAGAATTCGATCGAATACTACTTTAGAATTTATGAATCTCAATATTAAAAGTAAAGGTGATCAATAGGTGAAGTTGTTCCGCCCTAATATCCGTTTATTATTTGAATTCTCATGAACATTTAAGTAGTTAGAATAAAAATCACTTTTAATCACTGTTCTCGTTTATTTTCGTCAAATAGAAGTTAGAAATAATAAATTGAGTATTAAAGTATAGTTCTCGTGGGAACGATAATCCAGACTCAAAATGTCCACTTTACTACTTGTTACGTTCCGTCCACTTGCGGGATAAAATCGACAACAATGCATAAACAATTTCTTCTTCTTTCATTAGACGGCAAGCATATGCATACAGAGGTGAAGAGTTGGGAACTAGACATACTCAAGCCTTCAATTTAATAGGCATGCATTTCTTATAATCTAAAATCGAAAAATTTGAAGCAGCGTTGTATAAACGAGACTCTTTGATTTGTGTTAAATAATCAAATCTTAGTTTTGTTGACTAGCGAATGATCTATTCACAAAGAACATTATCCCATTCGAAGTCCGTGTACTTGTGTAGATATAGGACGAGGTGCTTGAAGCCTGAGTTGAATTGATCTAAATTGTGCCACGTATAGTTTCAATATCATTTCCATGCAGAAAAAAGGTTGTCACGCCTTGCTGGAACGAGAGAAGAGGTAGCGAATAGGCAGTGACGGACGCAGACATTTGACATTATGTGACTCAATCAAACTTTTAAAAAGTTACTATAAAAACAAGTGATCATTGTCACAGATTCACAAATCTAATATATATGATAAATAACAATTCTCAACTCTCAGTCTCTCAGTTGTTCGATCATTGCTGTAATTCTATTCTAATGAAAAGCCCAACTACCGTCATGGTCCAATTTTGATTTTTGACTCTAAAATAAAAAAATAATAAAAAATCCTTGAAGTTGGTGGGTCACTAGACCCACCAAGGATCATGAGTACGTCCGCCAATGGATAGGCTCCAGCAACTCAAGTGACATCACCACTCTTGTGCACCAACAAGAAGCTTCTTCCTCTACAATTATTTTAGGTAGATGGGACTTTGCTCAGATTTGATTGTTAGTCAACTGCAATTACATGTCGTATCTCGAAAAGCTATCTTTGTTCCTCATTGTAGATTAAATAATGCTACTTGTATATAATAAAATTAAATAATAATTTACATACATGTGATGTATTAAAAAGAGAGTAGAGAAAAAATTATTTTTTTATCTTGAAATTTTTTTGATCCAATTATGTACTTGTAGCACAATCATTATAGATTTGTCCATTTTTGAATCCAAGTTTGAACACTTAACATGTATGAAAATTTTTTTTTCTTTCTTTTTTTTGGGTGAGTGTGCAACTTGTTTATTCTTGTAGTACAACATGTAACATAGTAAATTTCAAGGACCAACACTTGTCGTGAAAGACGGCAATCAACACAAACAGAAGTAAGGGCACATTTAACATGGTTTCTATTTTTACTTTTACTTTTTGTAGAAATTTTTTTTGATCAAGTTATTTTATGCCAACTTTTTTTAAAAATCTTCTAATTAAATAAAGCATTTCTACAAAATTATTCAAACAATGTGGCAATTTCACAAGTCCCAGAATCAATTTTTTTTTTTTAATTTGAATTTTTAGAAGTTCTATGAAACGACTCTTAAAAACTTCCCCAAGTTCATATTCGTATGAGGTGTCCCATTTGGTTGTTTGTGGTCTCCCTCCGACTCTACAACAACACAATAAAGATTTCGGCACACTCACAACTTGCTTCTGAAATCGGCAAGTTCTTCCACTTCAACAAAAATGCCATTCGAAGTCAACTCGAATAGTGCCAACTTTATTCTCTATCATTTTCATTTTCAGATTCATGTGTGCGAGTCTTTTGCTCAATTCATTCTTAGTGCCCCAAAGAGAGATGTATAAAGACTTATGCATAAAGTTTTACCGACCATCAACGCATCATTACTTTTTTCTTATTGGAGTGAAGTTACTCATTTTCTTTGTCAATATGGAAGAAATATACGTACACATTTCTCTCAATATTCACATGTGCCGTGTCACCGTAAACCTTAAAGTTTATTCAACCCACATTAATTTTTAATTCAATGGAAAAAATGCTCTGAATTAGGCAATGTCCATGTCACCGTCCAACTACAAGGAGTTGTGAATCCGATGAGCCTCCAATAATGCATTGGATTTGTACCTAGCTACCTACCTAGGATGTCATTTGTTGTGAAGGGTTGAAAACTTTTTCCTATCATCCACGTCTTTGACTAATAATTGGGAAAATGAAGTTTAATAATAATAGCAACAACAACATTAAATTAAAGATTATTTAATTGTGTTATACGTATATTACAACTTACAAATTTGTTATCAACAGATGATGTGACAAGATTTGATTAAGTCAAAATCTCATCAACTAAAAAACAAATCTACTGCTTTCTCTTTGACACATCGTCAATCTGTAAAATATTTGATAAATTGTGATGTACAATAAATATTTTTGAAGATTATTAGTTGCTTTTTAAGATTTCTTTTTGGGGGGTGGGTGACGGAATATGAATTTAGATCCAAAACTAACATAACAAACAATTAATATGTGATCTAATATTTAAACACTCACCGATTTATTCACGTATTAGATCAAATAACATTCTAGGAGTTTTTAAACTTCTTAGGCGCATATCACTTTAAAGGTTTTTAGAAAAATTAAGTAACTATTAGACGTCGCTCTTAATCGTAATTTATCTAAAAATTGGATTAGCGCATTTTTTTTCACGTTCTTTCGTCCACATTGCGTGGCTATCATTATCAATGAAAATGTTTCGTTTTGCTTAAAAAAAGGTTTTAATTGTACGTACTGAATAAATTCTTTTATACAGTGTCTTTAACTAATCTAATCCTGCAATCCCTTCCAAACAAGGCTCATCAAGAGGGAATTATTAGAATATCCTATATCTAATTATATAAATATAAAGGGAGGATTTTATGGGAGAGATTTTAATCTTATTAAAATATCATACGGTAATTCAACTCAGATGTAAGATGTAATAGCAACAACAACATTAAATTAAAGATTATTTAATTGTGTTATACGTACATTACAACTTACAGATTTGTTATCAATAGATGATGTGACAAGATTTGATTAAATCAAAATCTCATCAACTAAAAGACAGATCTACCGCTTTCTCTTTGACACATCGTCAATCTGTAAAATATTTGATAAATTGTGATGTACAACAAATATTTTTGAAGATTATTAGTTGCTTTTTAAGATTTTTTTTTTTGGGGAGTGGGTGTGGGGTAGGGGGTGGGTGAAGGAATATGAATTTAGATCCAAAACTAACATAACAAACAATTAATATGTGATCTATCTAGGAGTTTTTAAACTTATTAGGGGCATATCACTTTGAAGGTTTTTAGAAAAATTAAGTAACTATTAGTCTTTAACTAATCTAATCCTGCAATCCCTTCCAAACAAGGCTCATCAAGAGGGAATTATTAGAATATCCTATATCTAACTATATAAATATAAAGGGAGGATTTTATGGGAGAGATTTTAATCTTATTAAAATATCATACGGTAATTCAACTCAGATGTAAGATTTCTTGAATTTATTCCCATTTTAAGTTTTTTGGATGTCAAAAGGGCTAATTATGTTAAAAGTAGAGAAACAATTGATCCCATCACACCTAGACACTCCTAATGATCTAAGGATTCGTTTGACATAATTTTTGCTTTTACTTTTACTTCATCTAAAAAAAAATCTCGTAAATTACTTTAATTTTTGTTTGAAAATTAATTTTTGAAAGAGTATATTATTCCAGAAGTATTTTTTAAAAAAAGTTACATTGACAGCTTGTTTGGGAGAGCTTTTTTGCCCCCAAAAATTGATTTTTTGACCGTTATTTCAATATTTCAGTTGTCATATTTGATTTCTTCTCTCACAGGTGGACCCCACTTTTCTCCCAACGATCAAAAAATCAATTCTCAAAATCACTCCCAAACAGGCTCTGAATCAATTTCTTCTAAAAATTCTTTTGACTAAAAGAAGCACTTTTATAAAATTAACTAAGGAGGATCAAACGTAACTTTTGAATCTCAAAATCTTATTTTGAGTTCTCAAATGACATATCAATCGGATTCTAAACATGTCTGAAAGATATTTATAAAACTTTTAAATTATAAAAAAATAAACAATAAATAATAAATAAGTGAATAATACTTATAAATTTTTCGACGTACAAATAAAGATGTTTTTTAAATACGAGAAGACAGACGAAAAGTAACCAGAAATGTGTCCCAAAACAAATTCAATTCCACACCACACAAGTCTCTGCGTGTATAGGCGGCTGTGGGTGGGGGTCACAAGAAATGCTATAAATTATCCCACGACACCATCCTTAGATTTAA